ACATACTTGGAAACGTTGAAATGGGAAGTCCTATCCCACCCGTATTTGTCCAGATGTTGCTCCCTCTGACTATCACTTGTTTCGATCACACGACCTGGCTGACCAGTACTTCCGGTTTTACGAAGAAGTAACAAATTGGGTCGATTCGTGGATCGCCTCAAAAGATGACTAGTTTTTTCGACGCGGGATTCGTACGTTGCCCGAAAGATGGGAGAAAGTAGTGGCCAGCGATGGACAATACTTTGAATCATAAATGTATAACCAGTTTTTTACAATAAAGCCTCGAATTTCGGAAAAAAAACGGTGGAAGCAAAGTTATACACCTAATATTTTAAATAGATTGTATCAATTATGTTACCGATCCGTCAATAAAAGTGACGATGAGTAATTAAATTATAGTATATTTATGATCAAGTAGAGTATGTGTGGGGTACGAGAGACGAGGGTCGTCTGAAAAGTTGTGAGCCTCATCATGAAGATGGCGTTACTGGTCAAAGCCATTCTGGTATTATAATCGTGATACTTACGAAAGATATTTGTGACAATTGTGGCCATTTTGGGCGTTCAGTTCTTGTTTGACAATCATTTGTGTCATCATTTTGTAAAAATGAAAAATTGAATATCATGCTATAATTAAATTCTTGCATTTGAAAGGCAATACGTCTACGCAAATTAAAGTCGAGTTGGACGCTGTTTACGGGGACTCTGCCCCATTATTTGCTACCGTGAAAAGATGGGTAGCTGAATTTAAACGTGGTCGTACCAACTTAGCTGATGATGAGCGTTCGGGACGGCCAATAACTGCGACCACCACCGATAACATCGAAGAAATTCATCAAATGATAATGGACAACCGTCGAATTAAGATTAGGGAGATAGCAGAGGCTGTTGGCATATCAAAAGAACGTGTTCGTCATATATTGACTGAAGAATTAGGCATGCGTAAGTTAATAACGTGTTGGGTGCCGCGCTTGCTCACTCTGGATCAAAAACGCATTCGAATGAACATTTCTAAAACCCTGTTGGAGCGGTTTAAGCGAAACGAGTCGGATTTTTTGCGTCGATTAATAACGGTTGATGAAACTTGGGTCCACCACTTCACTCCTGAAACGAAAGAACAATCAAAACAGGACTGCGAAGGGTGAACCTGCTCCAAAGAAAGTGAAGACGGTTTATCGGCGGGAAAGGTGATGGCGACTGTTTTTTGGGACAGTCATGGAATTGTATTGATCGACTATCTTGAAAAAGGTAAAACAATAACAGGGACGTATTACGCACTTATAAAGCAACCCTGACTCAAGAGCTGCATATTAACGATGAAGCTCGCAGATTGAGATATTGTCAGTGGCTCCTTGATGTAAGTGAGGAAAATTATTATTTTTCCAAACACATTGTTTTCGGACGAATGTGTTTTCCATAATGATGGCAACGTCAATCGCCATAACTTGCATTAGTGGGCCACTGAGAATCCTCACTGGATGCTGTAAGCGCATACTCAAGTGAGGTGGTCGGTGAACGTTTGGGCAGGTATTCTCGGAGACCACATCGTTGGGCCATATTTTTTCGATGGTAAGGTCGATGGCAATGCGTACTGAACATTTCTTCAAGACCAATTTGTCGACTTGATGGGTGAGGTGCCACTGGAATCACGTATTGACATGTGGTTCCAGCAGGACGGCTATCCTGCACACACTTCTAGGGCGACAAGAGAGTTGTTAAATAGAAAGTTCGGTAATCATTGGATTGGTCTTTGCGGTCCTCATGAATGGCCACCGCGTTCACCAGACCACTAGATTTCTTTTTGTTGGGTCATGTTAAAAAGCAGGTGTATGCAACGCGACCCGAAAACGTTCAAAACCTGAGAGACAGAATTGTACGAGCTTGCCGTGCAATAAGTCCACAGGTCTTGCGGCGGGTACGTAAAGCAGTCTTGAAAAGGGTTTTACTTTGTGAGCAGATGGAAGGGGGTCATTTTGAACACAAGCTCTAAAAATATGATAGATTGTTGTCATGTTGCGCACGATCACACGTGGATGTAACTTTTCATCTGCGTGTGATCTTACTCAATATGACTTCAATATATTAGTTTGAGGCTTATGTAACAAAAAAAATAGGTCTACAAATGTGGTATAATACGGCTCCAGGCAAAGGTCCACTTTAAAAAACCTAACGCGCCAAGCGTGGAACCTCGAAGGTGGTGTGGAAGTCCACGTTACTATTTTTAGCTTTCATCGTTTTGCATTACATTTCAATATTATTTCTGAAGTTCTTAAAATTTAAAGTACTTTAGAAATAATATTTAAATTCAGAGGATTATACCATAAGTATTAACAAGTTGCGATAAAAATTATTAAAATGCATGTAAATTTTTCACCAAGGCCTCTGTATGTACGTCGGACCTGCTCGCGCGCCGGGCGAAGCAACTGCCATCTAATAGTCAGGGAATGGAAGTAACTCGTTACTTGTAACGAAGTTACAGTTACAAGTTACTTTTTTGATAACTTTACTAGTAACTGCGTTACTCTTTTCTTTGGTAACTGTAACGGTAACAAAGTTACATTTTTTTGGTAACGGTAACGAATTTTACAGTTACTTTTATCGTTACTTTGCACATGATTGGACACGATGCGACACAAGCCACTTACACTGTAAAAAAATTTCGTAAATTTACACATATAATAAATGTAAAATAGATTACATAATTAGTTCTGTAATTATAAAAAAATCATACAATTTTACAGAAATTATGTAATTCCACAAAAATTATGTAAATTTGTTTTTATTATGTAAATATGTCTTATTTTATATTGGAAATTATGTAAATAGCAGGATATTTTGAATATTTTCTGTAATTATCCAAATTTTAGTAATATTACGTAATATAAAAGAAATTTTTCGCGTATTGTTGTTAAATGTATAATAATATATAGTGCGAAATATATTGTCATATTATCGTTCCTGTAGCTACACATACACATTGTAATTGTACTTCCACAATCTGCTTAGTTCCAAACCAAGAAATTATTTTTATTTGCATATTGCAAATATACAAACGTGTGGACGTTTACAACT